TAGGTACAGTAACACAGTTTAAGTAGCAACTCTCACTAATGAGCTCCCGTCCCGGGAATGTGGAACCATTGATTTTGTCTCTGAGGCTGCTGAGCAATCAACCAAGCCACCTTGTTGAAGTAGTATAATTGTCTGTCTAAGAGTTCCCTGGATTTGCTAAATAATTTGAAGCTGCTCCAATTATCACACGTTGGAGTATACTGTATACTTCTTCTTTCGGTACTTTCATTTTTAGATGTGCTGTCATCTTGTTGACTAATATAGTCAAAAGAATTGACATTAGTGATTGACATTTGATGAATTCCTGATGTTCAGATTGTTTCAGGCCGACCTCCACCAGGAGCTTCTATGGCAGTTGGCCAATTCTTTGATGCGAAGGATGGAGAAAGAGTGTTATCTGCTCCAGCACTTCTTCTATCTGCTTATTCTTCAAAGGTTAATATTGGAAATTCTACCCACTTTCTCAGCTTTGTGAAACTCCAGATCTGAAAAGCATTCAGTTTAGTTCATGAACTGGACGACTGACTTGGTCTGGTTGATTGCATCATGTGTTTCTAGGATGTACTGCTGGAAGAGGATCATCCTATTGCTCTTAATTTATCCTTTGATATCAACTTAGGGCTTTTGCCAACTTCACTGTCTCTGAAAGCTACTGGTTGCGGAATACAAAGGTCCGGGCTTCCTGATGAAGAGGCTGGAGACATGGATAACAGTAGTAAGGAAGCTAATTTGGTCACGGAAACACTTACTTCCCTTCACTTTTCCCCCTCCTGAACTGGCTTTACTCTTATTTCAGAGCTTTGCAAATTGCGTTGCTTTCCACCTGTTGCTTTGGCATGGGATTCAACATCCGGGCTTCATGTATTTCCAAATGCGTACAGTGAAACAGTTACAGTTGACTCATCACCAGCACTTCTGAGTTCCTCTCCAGGATCAGGAAAAACCTCTGTGCTGTTACTCGTAAGTGGTAAACATTTGCTGGATAAGTCCTTGTCCTGTTTGCTTTTGTTATTTGGAATGTAGTGTTTCTTTTATCATTGAAGGTTCCTTTTTTCTGCTTCTCTTTGCAGGTTGATCCTCATTGTTCTTATGAATTGACCTTTGCTGCTTCTCTAACAGCAGCTGCTGGCAAATTTTTGCTTCTTTATAGTTCACAGGTAAAAAGTTTGATACCATTCCTATATTAGTTATTATTATCAGTTACAAGTTCTATAGAGCCTGAATATCCAAAATGCGCTCTTACACTGGGCTTTTTCTTCTTTTCAGATAGTGGGTTCCTTCTTTGCAGTGATATTTTTTGCTCTAATGCAGCAAGTGCGGGCATGGGATCTTGATTTGCCTATACCATCAGTACTTACAGCCATGGAGTCCAATTTGAAGATGCCTTTGCCGTTTGCGCCTTTAGGCTTCAGCCCCCTCCTGCTTTCATTATTTGTTTGTGTGCTAAATTCACAGCCTCTTCCTCCGCTTGTAAGCTTCATTGCTGTCTCCATAATTTGCTATTTATTAGCAAATGGGGTTGGAGCCATACTGGTCTGGGTGTCCCAATTCCTCTTCTATGCAGCCGCTCTCACGCATGTGTTCATCAAGTCAAGGTCGGTTTTATATGTTTCTTGCCAGCACTGTGTTAAGGATGATGTCTATCATTAATTGTGATTGACGTTTAACTAAGAGAAAAGCTTTGGAAAGGATAATACTGTAGCCTGTTCAATTTACCAATGTTTATAGTTTCATATTGCCTGATATTCACAAACTAGACTGACAAAGATTTATACTTCACAGGTGGCAACAATGGGAAACAAAGGTTTGCTTTGCATATCTTCGTTGGTTTATTACTCTTTCATCTGGTTTCTTCTCACTGAAGGTCAGCTTCTTATCTGTCACTTAAACCTTGTGTAAATTAGTCAGCATTGTTGGTAGTTTGATGAGGCTTGTGTGCTTATTTATTTTAATGGGCAAAGCAGGCCATGAGGGTAATAAGAGGCAGCCCGTCAGTACTCACTGCGCTAATGGCAGTTACATTTGGGTCTTTCATCCACCCGGCATTGGGTTTACTCACCCTCCTGTTAGCTCATGCTATATGCTGTCATAATGCGTTATGCAGGTAGTTTCAGCTTCATATTCCATAACTCCGCTTGCCTTTCTCTTGTTGAAATCCAAGATTAGATCTTTTTTTCCTTCCTATTTTAATATATCCATTTTTAGAGGTTACAATTTACTCGTACCTGGTAATTAATGTATTAAATCTTATGATATCCATAATGTGGGTACCTATTATCGTACATATTGACCCATTTGATAAAAATCGTTCATTTACTCTACATTTCGAACATGCTATATCACTATTGCTATTTTGTTACTGTATGATTACTCAATATACATGGTTCGATCTGATGATCACGATTTCATTCTACTTTATGATTTTACGTAATCTCTTGATTTGTTAAATCATTGACTTCTTTTTTAACTACGATCTCTCTTTTTTGTCCTCAAATATGAAGTATAAACTCTCTATTCTAAGAGCTCGTGTTCAGTAGCAGTTTTTTGACAGCTTCATTTCGCAGCCACACACGAAAGAAGGAATTCCTTGGTCACGAGGACAAAGATAAAGAAATATCTTGGCAGCAACCGTTGTCGAAGCATGAAGTTGCCGGGGTCAACCAGAGCGTCCTATTGGAAGAGAACAGCAGCTCCGACAGCCCAAACAGTTCGAAGAGCTTCAGCGACACACAATTGGAGATCTTTCATCACAGGCATGGTTTGCTGATACTACATCTCATGGCAGCCCTGATGTTTGCCCCTTCTTTCGTGGCTTGGTTGCAGGTACGAGTTTTACAACTATCTCACTAGTATATGGGGGAATTAATAAGGCAGTCACTAACTTTGGGATCACTACCAAATTGGGCACTACAATTTGGAGTAATTAACAAGATAGTCAGCTTTTGTCCATTCCTGTCAAGTTCTTGGTCCAAATTATATGTCCAGATTAGTATGTCAAGTAAACCAAATTATTAACGGGAACACATAAAATTTATCCTCTAATTAGCTATCAGGTAGGGGAGGAATGGATTAGAGTGATATTAATTAGGAAATGTGATGCTAGAATAGGATCTCGAACAATCGGTTTGGTTTAGATCGGGTAAGAGCAAAAAACGAGTCTCTTTAGCGAAGCTGTTCTGGTTTATGTGGCCTTTTTAATTCTTCCGGAGTAGGTGCACTAATCTTGGAACAGACTGGGAATCTGATGGAGATGGATGGAGTAACTATTATGTATATACTTATTCCAAACTTCAGTAACAAAACTGATAAAATTCAAAGTTCTTGGTGACCCTTACTTTGGTGATCAATTATGCAAATTGAATGTAGCAGTTGACCACTGTATGATTGGTAGCATGAAGTAATTTTTAATTGTCGAAATGGTGTGGTTGTTGCAGAGAATAGGCATGGGCCATAGCTTCCCGTGGTTCCTTGATTCGACATTATGCATCGGCGTCATTCTCCACGGCGTATTATGCTCGAATCCAGAGTTCAGCTCCTTATTCTCCTTCCCCAGGATGATATGGAAGGAACTTCGATTGGATTTCGTGTATCTCCTCGGCGGCATCTATTCGTATATGGCAGGGCTAGGGTCGGCCCCCTACAAAGTCTTCTACCCGATTGCATCCATAGGGTTCTTGGCATTCGCTCTGAAGATGTCGCAGCTAAGGAACAAGGATAATGGAGAGTCTCGTCTTGGCCGACGGAAAAAGCATTCCCATCGACACTGAACGATGCAGTTGTGAACTTGGTGGTGCACAAAGGAGCTTGAGAGTCCATTTTTCGTGTATACTACTAGTTAGCGTGGCTTGTTGTGTTGTTTGTATTTCGTAATAGCCTATACTAAAAGTAGAGACCCTTTTGGCTTTCTTGTCGATTGCTGCAGGGAGCAGCAGTGTTTAGTAGTGCAGAAATTCCGCTGATCTTTGCTTTAGACCATGATTTGTAATTGTAATACTGTACGGTAGGTGGTACCAAACATGTTAGTGGTATGACATTTTAGTGGTTCAATCAGTAACATATTTGTGTGATATCGTTGTTAAAATAAATTAAAATAATAAATATGTTCAACTACTAATACACATGTGAAATATGATCAAAACTGAATGATATCATCGGAGATTGCCATTGTTATCGTATAAATTGCCAATAAAATCAACTGACATAATGTTGTCATAATATCTATACATTGTTAGCTTGGATAAATTATTCGGCTATGTAACTTACTTTGTATGTATCCTATAGTTGAAAAGTGAGCTTTCGATATCTAGGTAGAATACACATTAACTTCACAAGTATATAAACTAACACATACCATCATACTATAAAATGCATTTTGATGACCAATTTGTTATTTCAATAAAATGAATGTGTAGGGTTAAAATGTATGCCTAGTTATAGCATATATATTTCTTTTATTTTTTTTCATATTGAACAAGTATCTACACATATATATTCTTTTTACTTTTCCAAGTAGGACCCCATTGTTCTCCACATCGAATAAGATAACTTAGACTGCTCGAGAATAAGATAACTTAGAAGATTCAGATTGTATATTGTGATATTAATCCATCAATAGTAGGAATATAATTTATGATGCAAGGCCAACGAATAATGAAAGCAACCGCCACAAAATTATTGAGCGAAAACAAGACTTCATTCTCGTTTGGAGAGATTAATTTTTTTGTATCCAACCTCCAAAAAAAATCTATCTAATATAAAATCTTGCAAAAAAAATGTTTTTGAATATGATGATTCATTTCCTAGGTTAGTAAGAATAAATGATAATATTGACCACTTCATGAGCCGTGAAAACATGCACTTTCCTTTCTTCCCGTCACATTATAAGCAACAACTCAATAATAATATTGTAGTTCCACCTTTTGTGTGCATATTTGTAGAACTAACAAATCTCCTTGATTACCCACCATACAACATACAACCTTTTAAAATGAAGGCTCAAACTCGAATCATGTACAAAAATGAAAATTTCATCGAAACCACGCAAAAGAATCTATAATATTTGAAAACAAAAAATCGTGAAAGTAAAGTTGATAAAATTATGAACATGGAAGATGATCAACGACCATGGGCTGATATATGCCCATATCTCTTGGATTCCATCTATAACAGACTCTCATCTCACGTCGACGGTACTCACTTCGGCGACGTATGCAAGAACTGGCACCAAGTTCACTCTCACATCGCCCTTTCCAATCCTCGTCCTGTGTTGATCAGCCATGCAAAATTGTCCAGCTCGGACGTCATCCAAGTGCGGGAGGGTAAACGACTTGTCCTCCAACGACGTCGTGAATCTCAAATCCCATATGAGCTTGCAGGTAAAGACATAACAATCCTCGGGATGGCGGGTGCGTGGTTTTTTATAAAAGTGTGTGATGCTTCTTTGGGCTGGTACAATCCTCTACTCCGAAGTCCTGCAAACTACATCAGTCTTCCCAATCCGAGTAGGTGTTTTTCTACCTACGACAACCATTACAGACCTGACACAGTACTCAAATTTGCTTTCTCAGCGCTACCCACTGCGCAGGACTCTACGATCTTCGTGGTGTATGGCGACCGCTATCTCTGCATGTTTCGTCGTGGAAACTATGATGGATTTGAGCAAAAAACATACGATTTCTCCTTGGGTGGGAAAAAAGGACAAACATGTCTTGGCGTGGGCTACAAAGACGGTAGATTCTTTTGTTTATTTGAAATGGGTGATATGTTGATTTTCAGCATCGACGAAAATGAGACCAAAATGTTGTTGGCGGCAACTAAACCTTTGCTTCCGGAACAACTCCAGCGATGTGATAGTTTGAGTGTAGAGGCGTTCGTGATGGCAAAAAAAGCCACATATGTAAATGATCGATACCATGACCATGAGGTAGAAGAGGTGATGGGGTTTAGGCTGGTCACTCATTGGGAACGAGATCGTGAGGAGAGCTTCCTACTTGTAGCAGTGGAGGAAAATGTTTTGATGGCCACCGATCTGTTACTGGAGAGTAGTAACAGTGATGACATAAAGGACAACAGTAGAACAACAAGAGTGATTTTAGTGAAAGACCGGTTGCCATTGAAAAGGATTGTCAACAAACAATATATTGATACACTGTTTTTTAATTTTCCCATATTAATCTGGTCTTTTGCTTTTCTTTTTCTTTTTGATAAATTGGTCTTTTGCTTTTCGGATTATCTTTTTGCACCAAACTTAGAGTAATGAAGGGTACTATGATATAATACGTGTTATTATTATTATTATTATTATTATTATTATTATTATTATTATTATTATGAGGATAAAATAAGAGCTAATGATGAGGTGGATGTTTTAATTTCTAAAAGTGGAAAAGATAGCAAATCCTTTCATATAATACGTGTGTATTTTTTGTGCTTTTAATATATATATGTCTATATAATGTTGTCAAATTCTTTCATCTTCCCATATATACGGCCTCATACTAAAAATCATAGTTAATAAATACTCCGTTTAATACACATATAAGTATCCATACATGTATTATCTGTTTAAACCTTTCGTATTCGTATTATTGTCAAGACATTTTAATTTTTTTTTTGTTCATATGATGGTTCCCGTACTAAACACGTACAAAAACCATATAACATGTTTAATATCTGTATCTAATGAACTAAATTGTTGACTTTACTATATTTATATATTTATATATTTTTAAAATAATTAATTTTGTATTTTTATGAATATTACCATACTATTAAATGTAATATTAGTTTAGAGATAAAGTAAAATACTCGTACGTATTGTATAGGTAACTTTCCCGTACCATATTTTACTAACTATGCTTAAAATTTATACAAATCATACAACACATGTACTTAATAACCTAAACAGAACATATATACATTTATTATTTTGAAAATAATTATTATATAATACCAGTCGTCTCCTTTATATATATATATATACTAATGACATACTATTAAATATATAATTATTTTAGAGATGTAAAGAGGATAATTTATTTATTTAATTATTTCTTTCTTCTGTCTATTCAACCAAATCATGCCACGTAGTACTCTTTCTTCGAGTCCCCTATTATTTTTGATTGGTTTATACATTTTTTTCATTTGAATTTGCACAAAAAACAAATCGTTTCTTGTGATATACACAATGATGTTCGTTTTGATTTTAAATAATTCATTTTTTTCATCAAGGAAATATGGGCACGATCGCGTATCACATCCATGTACAACACTGCTATACAATTATACTAACATAGTATATATTTTGTATCACCTTAATAACTAACTTGATATGATGGTGGTATAATTATGAACCACCATAGTACGCGATGTAGTTCTCAGTGAGTGAGAACATCATTAATGAACATAAGAAAGTATGTTTAGTTGCTAATGGGTCTACTAAATCACGACAAGATCAAACATTAATAGTGGAGTGTTGGAAGCGGTTATGTTTGAATTATGTCAGTACGTCGTCGTTTGGGTGTTAGTCTAAGCAGTATATGTTTGCTGCTTTGGTCATTCATCTTTGTTTATGTTACAAAAGTGTCTAGGTCGATTGCTTTGCAGTCAAGTTAGGAAGAGTTGTTTGAGTCAGCTGAGTTGTTAGAGTTAGTTGCTGGAAATCAGGAAAATGGGGTGGTGGGATACTGGCTAGTCATCGTGGAGTCTGTTAGGAGTCATTGTAATCAGTATGTAAAGTTTTTTATTTTTATGAATAAACAAGCTGTCAGTTTGCCCCAACATTGCTTTCATAGTGGTATCAGAGCATTGGCTTACTGTAACCAGTATTCGTGCAAGAGTGATTTGTTAAAGAGTGAAAAGTCTGAAACTCAGACTGGGTTTGGGAAACACGAGAGTTCTTGTGAGGTTGCTGTTGTAAGGTGAGTGAAACACGAGTGTGTGTGAGTTGCATATCTGAAAATGAGTGAAGCAACAGAAAATTAAAATGGGAGAAGGAGAGGTGTGAAGAGTAGAGGTTTTCCGGGCAGTCTTATATAGGCAAAAAAATGAGGAAAATCGCACCTCTAAAGTGCGGTTTTGGTCTGCCATGCAGCCCTATTCTGCATGGGTGATTGTCGGGTGTTGGAAAATAATTGACACACAGACCGCACTGGGGGGGGGGGGGGGTGCGGTCTGTGTGGCTAAACCGCACCTTAGATATGCGGTTTGGTTTTGGAGGAACAAACCGCATCTCTAAGGTGCGGTTTGCCTAGGTCAGGCCAAAACCGCACCTCGGCCATGCGGTTTGTGTAGGGCAGACGTGAAACTGCATGGCCAAGATGCGGTTTCGGCCCAGGAAAATGGACCACACCCTATAAGTGCGGTTTATATATAAAACGCACATGGAGGATGCGGTTTATATGTAAAACGCACCTCAAGGGTGCGGTCCATAAAAAAGAGTGTTAGTTTTGTAAATATTTTTGGAAGGGTGCTATTTTTGTAAAATTTTTTTTAAAGGTGCTATTTCTGGAATAAAAAATCCCTTAGCTTACCCTTTAGCCAAGAACCTTGGGCATTGCTATTCGTCGCCCTAAAATTCCTTATTCGTCGCCCTAATTAAATTACATTTACTTCAATGTCCTTAGTTTATTTATTTGTCTTTCAAACACTTAAACCCCAAATTAAACTCAAATACTACACCAAATAACAAAATTCAAAATACAATCAAAGAAACAACAAAGAAGAAGAAACCAATCATTCAACGAAAAAGAACCAAACAATCTGTCATACCTGGTTCTTGAAATTCCCAATTTCCAACGAGTGATTAGTCATGAATGGTAATTATAACATGAAAACGATTAACCTAATTAATCCCTACCTACAGCCAATCAAGAGAGGGATTTATTCCCCTCCACCTTCTTGCAACTTGGCAAAGAGATAGCTAAACCCAAAGCTAATCAACCCTCTAATCGAAACGAGAAGCCACCACCACTTCCCTGCTCTCATCACCAATACGTATTTCCCTAGAGGATCTCCGCAGCAGCCAAGAGTAGCGGCGAACTGAGGTAGCAACACATATCGAGAGTTTGGTGACATAGTATCGACGGCGGCGGATTTGAATTGGGGTGAGGAAGGGACTAGGGATTGTTTGGTTAGGGTCTAGATCTCAAATTGGGTATAAGGGTAAATGTGCCAATTTGTTGCGTTTTAGGGCGATAAAATTTGAATTTTAGGGCGACGAATAGCGATTCAGAGAACCTTTCCAAGTTTCCACTCTCGCCGCCACACCATGGCGACGCCAATCAAGCCTACTAGTCACACTCTACTCTGCTTCTGCTGCTTCCTCCTCTTGTTCACAATTCCACCGCCGTCGGTGGCGGCCGGAGACTCCTCCTCACCCTCCCAAGTCATCTCCCGATTCCAGCAATACCTCCAGATCAACACCGCCCAGCCCACTCCCGACTACCACCTCGCCGCGGAGTTCCTCATCTCTCAAGCCGATTCCATCTCCCTCCCATCCCGCTCCATCGAATTCGTCCATGGCAAACCCTTGGTCCTCATCCACTGGCCCGGATCCGACCCCGACCTCCCTTCCATCCTCCTCTACTCCCACACCGACGTCGTCCCCGCCGAACCCCACAAGTGGGACCACCCTCCTTTCTCCGCCCACCTCGATCCCTCCTCCGGCCGCATCTTCGCCAGAGGCTCCCAGGACATGAAGTGCGTCGGGATGCAGTACCTCGAGGCCGTCCGCCGCCTCAAGGCCTCTGGATTCCGACCCCGCCGATCCGTCTACCTCGCCTTCTCCCCTGATGAAGAAATCGGCGGCCACGATGGCGCCGAAAAGTTCGCCTATTCCGATGTCTTCGACGCCTTGAACGTCGGCATCGTCCTCGACGAAGGTAAACTAACTAACTTACTTACCGATTGCTAGGGCGGAGTGTTGTTATTTTTCTCGTTATGCTGATCGGAGAAGAGAAAACCAGGGCTGGCATCTCCCGGTGATAGTTACAGACCGTTCTACGCTGAAAGGAGCCCCTGGTGGCTGGTGATTAAGGCCGTCGGAGCTCCCGGCCATGGAGCTAAGCTTTATGACAACAGCGCCGTGGAGAATCTGCTCAAGAGCATCGAGTCAATCAGGAGGTTTAGGGCGTCTCAGTTTGATTTGGTGAAAGCTGGATTGAGAGCTGAAGGGGAGGTCATTTCTGTTAACATGGCCTTCCTTAAAGCTGGCACTCCTTCTCCAACTGTAACTCTCCTTTCCTTGCTTTCACAATGCTTGTATCAGATGTTTCTGCAAATGGCTTTCTTCAACCATCCGCTGTTCTACTGTCTTGTCTTCCCCAGGGTTTTGTCATGAACCTGCAACCATCTGAAGCAGAAGCAGGTTTCGATATTCGTATCCCGCCAACTGCTGATCCTGAATCGTTGGAGAGGCGGATCAACGAAGAGTGGGCGCCTGTTTCACGCAACATGACATTCCAGGTGATGATGCTCTCCTTATTAGCTCCAATGAATGGTGATAGGCTGATAGCTAACAAAGTCAGGAGAAGAGAACAATGATAAGTGTATCATAGTATTTGGTTGCATGCTTTCTGTTTGTGTTATTCTCTGATTTCTTTTAGCTTGGACAGTTCAAGCAAAAGGCTTCCGTGTATGACAAGGAAGGGGAGCCCAAGCTTACAAAAACAGGGAGCTCAAATCCGTGGTGGATACTGCTCGAGGAAGCTGTAGCGAAAGCCGACGGAAAGCTTGGTAAGCCAGAAATCTTTCCTGCAGCAACAGACTCTCGCTACTTCCGAGAACGGGGTCTGCCAGCCATCGGCTTCTCCCCAATGGCCAATACACCTGTTCTTTTGCATGATCACAATGAGGTACTGTTTCTAGCTGCCAGCTCTTTCATTGATTTCCTGGTCCATGAGTGAGTAAGTTTGCTTCAGTCCATCCACTAGGAAGTCCATTGAGATTGTTTCTCTGCTGTCATGACCATTGTCTTTGCCGATAGGAGAACCATGCTTGATTTGAGGTTTTTGGTTGTGATGCATACTCTTAGATTATAGAGTCTTTGAAGCTATTCGAGACTTGTTGAACATTACCAACCAGCACTGCTATTGCTTTATGTTTCCCCAGCATTTGTAACGTGGCATTGTTAACTTGATGCAGTTCTTGAGCAAAGCTGAGTATCTGAAAGGCATTGAGGTGTACGAATCGATAATTAGAGCTTTCACATCTTCCGAGCACACCAGTGCCTCCAAGGACCACAAAGATGAGCTGTAGGTTGTTTTTATGCCGTTGTTGTAACATTGACCACTTTTTCATTTTAATAAATAAGTTGGAGTAGAAGAAGAATAACAAGCAGGAATAGCTTTTACCTTCTGCTAGTGGAACTTGGCATTGTGAATATATCCCTTCCTCTTAGCTTACAATCTCAATTTGTGATGAGTATCCCTTCGTATCTTGTTAAATACAACCGCGTTGAGTGAATTCTGGTGTCGCAAGCAAATAGTGGCTCATCTGATATGCAGTAATGAACTGATACACAAAGCAGGTGTCCTATCTGGAGCTTAGCACAGGAACAATAGATCATCGAAATTCAATAGGAGCAGCATAATAAAGTACAGAGATTTTTAAACAAATACAGCAGGTTCTTCCTAACACTATGGTCATTCAGGAAAAAAGAGATCTCTAAACTATATATATCTTGAACATATAACCACCTAAGTTATATAACAGTTGGGTGGTAACTGATCCTATGAAAAGGAAGAGTATTTGCTAATTGTATCAAAGATACTACCATAAGGCTATCAGTCTCTACTGAAGTTGTATAATCTTGGAACTGGCGACCCTTTAAAACCAAAAGATAGCATACAACCCACTAACATCAAGAGGGGCTTCTGAAACCAACAGGCAAATGGAGTAAAGATAGCATACAACCCCAATAACATCAAGAGGGGCTTATGAAACCAACAGGTAAATAAAGTAAAGATAACAGAGGTAAAGTGGAAGGAAAAACTCCCTTTTAAAGCACAACAATCAAATTGAAAGTACCTCAGACCGGTGCTTCAATCTGTAGACTGCTTGATAATCCCGTAATTTCACCTACACAGTGTTCAAGAAGACGCGATTAATCTCTCGCCTAGGCGCGATTAATAGCTGGGCAGGAGGAAATTGCCCCGTCTAGCCCTGGGCGATTGATCTAGGCACCTATGCACTCGGAGGCGCGTTTTCACCCTGGTGGGCGACGCCCAGAACAACTAATAAAGGGGAAAGTGTAGCCTTTTTGGGAAAATCCCAAACCCTATTCTATTTCCCATTTCCATTCGACCAGCCGCTACCTCTCATCGACCAGCAGTGAGATCTCTCCTCATGGTTGGCGACTTAGGATGTTTGGGATTGTGGAAAAGGGTTGTATGTGTATATACATGGATGAATAATGATATGGGGACTTGGGTTTTTGTGGAAGATGACTTATCTAACATATTTTTTTTCAACGTTTAATCTCGCCTAGGCAACGACTAATCGGCCTGGGCGCTGGGCGGTGCCTCCTAGCCTAGATAGCGCCTAGCGTCTTCTTGAACATTGCACCTACATATCTAATTTGGGCTGCTTCAAGTTCATCTCTTGAACTCCTTCAAGCTTCCTTTTCTTCTTTGCTGCATCTGGGGATTCTCCAGGATTCAGAGCGAAACTCACTCTGTAAAGCTCCACTGTGATGCATTCACCCAGCTACCCATTAGCTGGTTTCTTTGTTTTTTCTTCTGTTCTCTTTCATATCAAAACCGACAATCAGAAGGGATGCAGGTGATTGCCTTGGATAGTCGGAGGACTTTTTTCTGCAGTTATTATCGAGGAAGATGACAACACTTAATGTTCTATTTCCAAAGTACGACAAATAACCCAAAATAAGGGCATAAGCTGAAAGCTATACTGATCATGTCAAGGGTTCTGATTCAACAATGTGCTTCTGCCTTTGGTCATTGCAAAACTTCAATCAAGAACTCTGTAGTTATGCAACCCACGGGCATACTCACCCTTTAATATGCACTAACTAATATCTAGAATCAAAGGACCAAATCAGCTTAGCATGAGTTGATCAGGGAAATGACACAACAGGAACTCTGTATATATGGGTCAATGGAAGGGGCTTGCAAAACTGCGGAATTCCAACTATTGTAAGATAGGACTGCAAAGTTGAGAACCGTGTGGAACATACCGAAATTGAGGATGGAAAATCATGAAGCTCTATATCTGTCTAGCTCTGGGTTTGAAAGGGTGTCCTTGATTCAGCTTTAAAAAAAAAGTGGGAGTCGAAAGTAATCTGTCAGTTCCGCTGATCAATCAGTTCAGTCTTGCTAATTATAGTTTTGAGATCGAACACAACAATGGAAAAGACTTACAATCGTCAGCGAGTTGCTTTAGCTCTTCTTTGACTCTCCAACGACAGGCTATTCGATCGGTGGAAAAAATGAAGGGGCATTGCAGTCCATATATGCAGTTTGAGAGAGACATCTAAAGAGAACATGGACAACCACAGATCCTTCGATGAATGAAACTTGGCTTATGTTAAACCTTCTTCTTTCCTGTTATCACAGAATGAATATACAGATGATCATAAATACATGTTTCTGTATGTCTCATTGCAACTAACTATGACCCTGCATCAGCCTCTTAACAACCCCAACGATTCCCTGGACATATACACAGCTTTTTTTCAATACCCCACATGAACCAACGCAAGCAAGTACTGAGAAATGAGAACAAACAACACTGACATAACTGGTTACGTATAAGGGCAATTCAGCTGAATAGTCCACATCAACGAAGAACCTGAAATTTACTGGTTCCTTTGCCTTATCTGTCCCAAGACTTCGTTACCAGTAATCCCCACAAGAGCAAGCTCCATCATGGAAATGATGGTACCGTATGGGATCTCTAATCACAATCGTCCTCTTCTCCAACTTGGTCGCAAGTTTCACAAATAGGTGACAGTCACCGCATATCCTGAGGTTCTTCCTGATCCGGATAGTTTGTCCCTTGGGCAAATTCATTAAACCAAACACCACCGCCAGCTTTTCGCTATGGTACCTCAGAGAATCTTCCCTTTGTTCCTCTCCTTCCAAATCCTTCAGGACAAAGTTCAAGTCAGGGACATAACCAGCTCTCACGAGTCGTTGAATCAGCGACTCCAGCTGGATCTTAATCTCATTGATCTGCGGATGGGACCCATCTCCAAGAACGAAAGTATGAATCTGTTTACCCACTTCAATCCAGCTGCATCCAGGTTGTTTCTTGATCCCTTTCTCATTCATCACCTTACGAATTCCTGCCACATCATCCCACCTTCCAGCGTTTGCATAGATGTTCGACAGGAGTATGTAGCTTCCCGCATCTTGTGGGTTCAGCTTCAGAATTTGCTCAGCAGCATGCATCGCTAGATCCACATTCTTGTGAGCCCTGCAACCATCAAGCAAAGTTCTCCACATCGCTCCATCAGGTTCGAATCCCATCTCGTTAATCAGCTCAACCGCTTTGTTGAGCTTCCCTGCTCTTGCTAGAAGATC